TTATTTCTCATAGTTCTGGAAGCTAAAAGTTCAAGATCAAGGTGCTCACACCCCTCTGGTGTCTAGTGAGGACCTATTTCCTGGTTTGCAGATGACTGTCTTCTCATCCTTGTATGGCAGAGAGTAGATAAAAAGAAAGCAAGCTCTCTCCTCTTTTTATGACGGTACTGATCTCATTAATGAGGGCTCCACCCTCAAGACCTAGTTTATCTCTCTCATCTCCTAAGACCATCATATTAGGGGTTAAAATTTTAACATAAGAATTTGGAGGAGACATATATATCCAGTCCATAGCAGTCTCTTTGTATGTTTTCTTCCTTCCTCGTCTATTTCTCTTGTAAATCTCTGTTACTCTAGGCCTGTCCTTTTCCTCTTCAGTCTGTCTTACTAAATTATATAACAGAATATATAGCTGTATGTAAGTATATATATTTTAAATAGAGATATGTTCTCACTATGTTGAATAGGCTGGTCTTGAACTCCTGGCCTCAAGTGTTCCTCCCATCTCAGCCTCCCAAAGTGCTGGGTTTATAGGCGTGAGCCACCGTGCCTGGCCAGATGAGCATATTTATTACAGACAAGCATATGAGAGGAGCAGCTTATGTTTCCCTTTTTAAAAACTTCTATGTGGCTTCCTTTGTTTATGCCTCAGGGACACTTGATAAGTAGTAATTCACTCACCCCCACTACAGTAACAGGAAAACCTAGATAGGAGAACTTCAGGATATCATTGGTGGCTATGGCATAGGCTTGGTGAAGTTAAAGAGTGATAACAGCTATTTTTTTTTCTTTTTGTTTTTTTGGGTTTTTTTTTTGTTTTTGTTTTTGTTTTGAGACAGAGTTTTGCTTTTATTGCCCAGGCTGGAGTGCAGTGGCACAATCTTGGCTTACCGCAACCCTCTGCCTCCTGGGTTCAAGTGATTCTCCTGCCTCAGCCTCCCTCCCAAGTAGCTGGGATTACAGGAGTACACCGCCATGCCCAGCTAACTTTGTATTTTTAGAAGAGACGGGGTTTCTCTATGTTGGTCAGGCTGATCTCAAACTCCTGACCTCAGGCGATCTGCCCCCGTCAGCCTCCCAAAATGCTGGGATTACAGGCATGAGCCACCACTCCTGGCCGCTATTTGCTTTTGCTTGGAATAAAGGTATGTTTATTGACATCTTTTCTAACAGATACAATTATAAACATAGAAAAAAGTTTAAGTGGGTCCATTGAGAAACAGATGGCCTAATTTAGAAGTTCTATATATTTTTAGAATTTATGTGTTAATTCTGTGATTAACAAGGTAAACATTAACGTGATATCTAAAATGGGGAAATATCACTTTGCATCGCTGCTTCCCAGCCACTGTGCCATGATGCAAGCATTTACAATAATGACCTCATTGGTGGATTGGCAAGAGCTTTGCGGCCCTGGATCTGAAGTAGGCCTTTGGATTCTCTTGCCTCTCTTCAGTTATCCTAGTCCTCCTGGTACTTCTCTCTCTCCCTTTTAGCATTATCTTCAATATTCCCTTCCACAGGGTTTCCTCTACCCACCCACTTTTCTAAACCTTTCCTTCCAAAACCAGCTTTTATTAATGGTCTACATAACTGGTTGTCTTCTAAGTATTATTGAAAAAATAAATAAGCCACATACTAAACTGATCAAGAAGCACAAAACTACCCAAGTAGTTAAAATGCAAAGTGAGGGAAGGCTTGAATCAGTGATGTTTAGTATGTTTACACACACATTTTACTGATGCTACCACGAAAATGTTCTGTCCTAACTAGAATGGCCTAGCTTTATTTCCCCCTAATTGGCCAAGTTTGCTCACTCACCACTGCAATTGATGGGTATGCATGGTAAATATAGAGCAGTATAACCCTCACTCTGGTAGATTTCCATAGAGCACAATTCTTGATTTAACATAAGAATACCATTCATAGTAGGGACTAATCCAGCAAGGCAATAGTCCCTGGTTTAACGCTTTTCGTATATCAAAGAAAACCACCCACAAAAATAATTTCATTGTCTCTGAAACATTTTTCTATATTTAAATGGTAGTGCAAATATTTTTTTCTAAGATATCGGATTTAAAATTCCAATGACACACATAACTCTTTATACAGAGTGTTGCAATTTTAAAGACTGGTTATCATTTTTGCATTTTTTTAACATATTGGTTTATACAGGGCCAATTTTTTTTTTTTGAGATGGAGTTTCACTCTTGTTGTCCAGGCTGGAGTGCAGTAGCAGCCTCCACATCTCGGGTTTAAGTGATTCTCCTGCCTCAGCCTCCCAAGTAGCTAAGATTATAGGCATCCGCCCCCATGCTTGTCTAATTTTGTATTTTTAGTAGAGATGGAGTTTCTTCATGTTGGTCAGGCTGGTCTCAAACTCCTGACCTCAGGTGATCCACCCGCCTCAGCCTCCCAAAGTGCTAGGATTACAGGCTTGAGCCATGGTGCCCGGTGAATATTTGGCCAATTATTAAACCTATGTGATCATGTGTTGAGATCTGAACCTTGAACTCAGTCCTTTTATCTTTTCTGGACCTGGCTTAAGTTTCAAAGAATCAGCAGAAAAGAAAACCATAGATGACAAACCACCTAAGCATACTTACCCTTAAATAATAAAAGTATGTTTTTTTAAATTGGTTCTTTGTGGGAGAAGGTTTTTTTACTTTTGTAAAATCTAGAATTTTCAGCTTTATCAATATCCACTTATTTTCCATTTAAAAATTCCATTATTATAGCATTCTTTGAAAATCTTACATCTCCCTCAATCCTGGGTAAAGAAATACTGCTGTATTTTGCAGTAATTGAATTCTTCAAATTTGGCCAAGTAAAAAGAAACTGACTTAGGTTTCAACTTTGTGTTCTCCAATCTTTAATATTTATTTTTATCCCATTAAGACTGTGATGCCAGCCGGGTGCAGTGGCTCACGCCTGTAATCCCAGCAATTTGGGAGTCCAAGGCAGGTGGTTCACCTGAGGTCAGGAGTTCAAGACCAGCCTGGCCAACATGGCAAAACCCCATCTCTACTAAAAATACAAAAATTAGCTGAGCATGGAGGTGCATACCTGTAATCCCAGCTACTAGGGGGCCTGAGGCAGGAGGATCGCTTGAACCTGGGAGGCGGAGATTTCAGTGAGCCGAGTGCAGCCTGGGTAACAGAGTGAGACTCCATCTCAAAAAAAAAAAAAAAAAGACTGTGATATCATCATGGCTATACCTATGTAGAGGTTTAATTCTGGATTCAGGCTCTGGGAAAATCCTAGCTTTTCCACTTCCTACCATTCTGTGCCTGATCCCTTGACAGTTAAACTGAGGGGATGAAAAGTGTAGACCTTATAGGCTTGAGGTGTAGATCAGTGAGTTCATCCATGTAGGATACTTAAACCAGGGCCTGATGGACTATAAGGCTTCAGTAATTGTTAGCGAGGGCCACTGTTCTGAATTGGCTGATGGCCTTTTCATCCAGTAATGCTAGATGAAATGATTGGTTTATACATGACAGATACTCCTAGGGGAAATGTAGAGCCTACCTGGGATCACCCACACTCAAGTCAGTCATTTATATTTTGGCATTTATATACCTAAGCACTGAAATTGGTTTCAGCCCCTGCCTTTCGCCATATATGTAAATCAATCTTTCTTCCCCAACTCTCTGTTTTACTTTTGGCCCCACCTGTTTCTGAGAATATCATCAGGTGAGGGGCAGCCATCAATATAGTCTCTTCTACCTTGCAAATGACTACTTACCCAGTTTAATTAATAGCTTAGCTTTTGGCAAATGGTAAAATACCGTAATTAAATCTGTTTTACTATTATGTCTCTTGTAGGAGAAACAATCTAATAACACTCTGTATCTGTCAGCAGTCTGTGCTTAGGATGTATTCCGTAACCTGGAGCCTCACCTTCACTTCACGTCCTATCACCCTAGCAGCTCGTGACAGACCATCTCAGAGATTTATTATTTGCCTTTGTTTCTAGTCAGCTGGAAATTAGCTAGATGATTTTAGTGGGTTTTTTTTTTACTTTATTTTGTTTTTTCTTCTATTGTTATGACTAACAAAAACTGCAAATTTATGCCTTTTTATTATTCTAAATATTTTAAAAATAATTTATTCCTCTGTACTGTTACTATGTTACTAACTCTAGTCCCTGGAGATTAAGGGAACTACATTTATCTTCACTCTTCAAACTTTTGTTTTTTTCCAGAACAAACTAAATCTACCAGACAGATTGGATGTGACTTTATTTTATACAAATAAGTTCAGATAATCCAAGTTGTTTTTACTAACTTACGATGGTCTTGACCATTTAATTCCGCTTTACTTGGTGTAGATAAGGGGAGAGATATACCTTCTAGAAGTGGGCTGTCTAGTGTTCTGGACTCCCTGGCATCTGTTTTCCTTCTATTTTTTTCCTAATTACTTTGGAAGTTAGCAATCCCCTGTTCCCTCTAGACATGTTGTTCCCTTCTGTGGAGGTGCCCTTTACTCCCAGTTGTCGTACCAGGAAAGTGCTTTCTTGGGGGCCTCCCTTCCCAAAGCAGCCCTTTCATGTTTTAGAGCAGATGGCCACAACACAGACTGTAGCATGCTCCTTGCCATTCTTGTCTAACATCCCCTAGGATTGTGCTCCCTCAGAACATCATGTATCATTTCAATTTAGTGGTTGAACGAGTAGTCATTTACCACCTGAGCCATTTTTCTAATTAGGATGCATATATGTTGCCAGGTAGAGAAGAGTCATCCTAAACAAGAAGCAGGTATTTACCTGGTCTTCGTCCAAATGGAAATATTATTGAATCAGAGATTCATACTGGACTTCCTTTGTTCCTTTTCTGTTCCATGCCTCTGCCTTTTCTTTTTTTACACTCCAATGTGTAGAAAAATGTTCATTCTGATGAACTTGCCCAAGTGATCTACCATTTCCTACATGGTCAACAAGAGACCTTGAACCTGGCCATCTCTAGCATGAATTGCCCTTATTTCTTCTAATGCTCCAGCTGCTCCAGTTTCTCCTGGCCCTTCAGTTCCAGTTGCCGTTGTTCCCTCTGGCTCTTCAGTTCCAGCTGCTGGTACTTCCTCAGGTATTGGTGCCCTGGCTATTGTTCACTTCCCAGCCTCCCAAGTCCTATATGTTGGGGAAAAATGACTTCTGCTGCCAGATCTGGATCTGTCGTTTCTTTTGATTGTTCTCAGAAATTACCTACACAAGGGGCTTAGTCCTCCAACTTGGGGGTCTTCCTTTTGGCTTTTGGTCTCTTCTGCAAATCTATTTCTGCCATCTCAGCTTCTTTAATGGGTTTTCTAATTGTTTTGTTCTTAATTCAATTAATTTTAAGCATTTGTGAATTGCTTGGTAGTGTACCAACCACTGATACTTTTCTCTTTGGCAGTTTTACTAATGCATTCCATGTATTCTAACTGCCTTAACGTCTGACTTTAAAAACAAAGTAATTATGACAACTTTCTCTGATCATGGAACAATGGAAGAAGAAAGACTTTAGAGACTATCTAGTCCAGCCTCCTTATTTTGTGTTTAGAGAATCCAGACCAGATGGGTAAAATGAGTTGCCTAAATCACATAGCTTATTGGTGGCAAAGCTAAACTTTGAATTTTGGTCTCCCCGATTTCACATCCAATGTTTTGATTCTTTGTGGTGAGGACTTAACTCTGTATTTGCCACTATTGTCAGTCATAGCTGCAGACTTCCAAGTGAGGAATAAAGTATCTAAGTGGTCCTTGCCAAGGAGCAATAGTATCACAGGGGCAATGGGACTTAGGGAACCACCTGATTATCAGGGGTGGGGGGTTAGATTTTTTTAAACAAATAATTGAAACACACCTAGTATTTTAAAGAACATGCTCTTGAAAAGAAGAGTTTCTTCCAGGAGGCGGAGGCTGCAGTGAGCTGAGATTGCGTCACTGCACTCCAGAATGGGTGACAGCGTGAGACTCTCTCCGGGGGCGGGGGGGGGGGGGAAGAGAGAGAGAGAGAGAGAGAGAGAGAGAGGGAGAGAAAGAAAAAGAAAAGAGGTTCTCATGTTTTAGTATTCTACTGAATTACTTGAGATACTTTTAACAAAATCATAGACAGTATATAGGCTCGGGGCTCAGGCCTTGCCTAGACCTGCAACCAGAAACTTGCAAGGTAGGGCCTGGATTTTAAGGTTTTCCAGGTAGTTCTGGTATGCTTTGTATGAAAGAACCACTGCTGGAAAGTCTAGCATGTTTCTCAAAATGGGGCACCTATTTAAAAGTCAAGATTTCTGGGCCTCATTCCCAGAACTACTATCTTAGAATTTATGGGGATGGAACCCATCTTTAAGCTCCCTTGTGAATGTTACATCCATTAAAATATGAAAAAACACTGCTCTAGAATATTTTAAGTCATTAACCAAAAAAGCCTAGAGCAGTGGCTTTCAAATGTATTTGTTCATGTCCCTTGGTGAGAATTACGTTTTACATAATGATTCAGCAAATCCACATAACTAAAACAAAAGTTTCACAAATCAATATTTATCTTACCCAGTGCAGTGAACTCTGATATTTTCCGTTCTAATTCATCCTATTTCAATTTTTAAAATAGGTAATCAAACCTCACTAAATTCATTTTTAAACTTATGGCTCACTGTAGTTTGAGACACTGAGGATTGAGATGTGCTTGTTAATTCTACCTATCATAGATTTAAAACTTTTCTAATTCTTCTACTTTTTCTAGTTATTTCTATAAGCCAGTAACACCTGTAAGGAAGGTCCATTTTTGTCATAGTCATACAGTACTGCCACTGTGTAAAAGTAGACTGCCTTTGTTCCCTGGACATGGGAGATCTTGCCACCTCCATGATGATGTCACTAATAGCTTTCAATCACAGTGTAAATGATAGAAAATTCAGTTTCAACTAAATGAAGTTTAAAGCAGGGGGGAGGTCTTTTGCCCATGGAAGCAGTCCAAGGGTAGATAAGTTCAGGTGCTATTTGATTATAGACTCAGAGAGTATCATCTGCATCCCCCCAAGCCTGCCTTTTCTGGGATGACTCCTGATGTGGCATATTCCTCCTTTCATGAGGGTAGCAGAGCTACACCACACACTGCCAAGGTCAACTGAGAAGAGGGACTCTTGCAGACTGAGCACACATTTCTTTGACCACATGTTCTCTCCTGATCCAGTCACTGGGATCCAGACCCATTCCTGGAGCTGGGAGTCAGATCAAATCTCCGCCACACTACATGGCTGAGGAAGAGGGAGGACCGATTTTCTAAAAAGAATTCGAAATACCTCTCCCCGACGGATGCAGGAGGAGAAGATACTAGGCAGCAAATGCAGATGTCATCTATTATAGGCCATCTATTTTCACGGTCTTTCTCTTTTCCCTCCTGTTTTCTTGGTTGTAATGAGTCTTTTCTTGCTGCTTTTCCCACCTACAGACACCAGTTTCTTGTCCTGAAGTTTCCAGTTTAAATCTTGTTGGAAGTAGCCACTGTCAAATGAAGTGCGAGGCCCTCCAGGGAAATAACAGCATAAGTAATTAGAAAGAATTGATTAAAATTCACTACAGGAGAGACCTGATTTTTTAATGAATAGAATGGAGTAATATGCAAGAGTTAACCAAACTACACAATGATTGCTAGCATTCAAATGTGTGGCAGTGGGCAAGCTTGCATAGTCTTCCTTGGAGTCCTTTAAATAGACTATGCGACTGAGTCTTTTCAGGAAGTATCTGAGCACAGTCAGTGTCCTAGAAATATCAAATGACCACATATAGATGAAGAGTTATCAAAGTTAAGTATAAAACTTAAATCTGGCAAATAAAGCTCAGCTGATTCTATTGGCTGCCTTTCAGAATTACTTTATATACTATTTAATGTTTCCTCTTCCTCAGGCCTTCTATCATGAAGCAAAACAGACTTCCTTTCTACCAGGGGGTTAGAAAGTAGATGATAGCTATGTAGTAAAGATAATGTTGATCCATTAAAATTGAGATTTTTTTCCCTACAGTCCAACAGAGAGAAAGAATGGTACCTTTAAAAGTTTCCTAATGATTCCAGGTCTACTTGGAAAAGATTTCAATGTAAATAAGCATTTCATACACAACATACTGAATCTTTTGTTTTCTCAGTAATAGAATCAAGTTCTCTACTTTGTCTTTGTCACAAATTATTCCCTAGTTTGTTAAGATACACACTTTATATATGGTATGATGATCCTGGGTTTTGCATTTTGTGCTACCAACTAGCCTGCCTAGCTTTTAGATATTCTCTGCCTTCATGTGTGCTTAGAAAATCTATATTCCAAACATGTTTTGTAGTTTTGTTCTATAAAGATAATACAAAATGAGCACTCTAAGGTTTGTATTATTCCCCTAACTTGGTTTGTAATTTTGCATAAAAGCTTTAAATCCTCTCATAAATTTATTTTTCTCTAACAGTATGCCCATTCATTTCTAATTTTCTAATTTCTGTCTCTTAAAAGCTATAGCATTTTAATTGCTTAAAGAAACTAATCAGTCTTTTATCCTTGATGGTGATTTCATTAAGTTCTTACTTTTTAAATGAAGTTTTTCATGTTTGTTATTATATTTTGGTTTATAGTGTGGCTTGATCTAAGAACTCAGTCTACCGTTGAGAGTCTTAGTAAAAGAATCCCAGGAAATAATAACTTTGTCAAGGTAAGCATTTCTTCAAAAGTATACTTGCTATAAGAATGTTTTTTAAAAAATAAAAAGTTTTCAAATTTCACTAGAAAGAAGCATCTTATGATATAATAGTTATTTGATACAATTTATAGAATCTTTTTCTCGGATAATTGAGGCCAACTCAAGTCTTTACCTTCCTGTGTTTCTTGCTTTGTGGTGGATCGGAAAAATAATGCCCCAAAATTGACAGGCTGGAGGAGATTATAGTGTATCTCAGTGACTTAAGCCATACTACCCAATGGGTGCTTTCTGTAATTGATTCAGGGAGAGAGAGAAAGTAGAAGACACCCTAGCCCTTTATTGAACTCCTCTTCCACTTCGTTTACATGAAGAAGGCTAATAAAACTGCCTAATTTTCAGTCCTCATATAGATCCCTCTTCACATAAAGGAAGGGAGAGAGAATTTTTAAAATAGGCAAGGAATTTTCTTTCAGCAAGATCAAGGCCAAGTTCTTCTAGCATCTAAAAGGAAGTTCCCTTTTTCTGTTTTCGTGTGTGTGTGTGTGTGTGTGTGTGTGTGTGTGTGTGTATGTGTGTTTGTTTATCCCCTTTTGATTTGTCAGTGGGATGCTTATGTCATTTTCTTCTAAAACTATTGTTGAAATCCCATTAGTTGCAGAAATCTGACCATTCCATCCCCCCACAATAACTTCAGACTTGTCCTGAATAAACTGTTTTCTATTCTGTTCTCTTCATCACCCTGCCCAACCCTCACTCTCACCTCTAGCTGCACTCTACTTCAAGAGGTACATGTTTTTCTCTCCGATGTCATTTTAGGCAGCTTTTACACTTTCTACCCACATCATGAAAATAAGATATTATGTACTAACTCACTATTGACTTTGTGGGATCTTCCTAGGTCACCTTTTGGGGTGACCCTGGGTCCTTCAAATCCAATAATATTTCCATAAATTATCTCCTTCTATTATTTTTATGCATTGATTTTCTTTAAGAAAGCTAGAAAACCTTGAGTTACAATTTTTAATTTACAGTTTGCATTAAAGTATTAAATTCTTTGGTTTGAGTGTTCTTACAAAACCATAGTCACAGGAGATAGGAGGGAAAAAGTTAGCACTTCCTGTAGTTAGGTAATAAATGAGAATAGGGATGGGGAGGGGAAACATAGTTGTATTATTTTTGCGTATGTATTTTCTTGACTAGTTAACTTTAATCAGCCTTTATGTATAAATTTAGTGTTTAATATACTAACCACAAATGAGTTGGGTTTGACCCATCTCAAGGAAGATTGGTAAGCACATATGTGTTTCATTTTTACCCGTTAAACTTTCTTCAGTTCATTAAATATATTTCCTCCATTAAATATATTTCCTAAATTTAGGTGACAGCTGGTTTATATAGAGCAATTCTGTGTTGCTTTATGTTTTTTTATTTATTTTTTTTATTTCTAGACAGAGTCTTGTTCTGTTGTCCAGGCTGGAGTGCAGTGGCATGATTTCAGCTTACAATCTCTGCCTCCCAGGTTCAAGCGATTCTCTTGTCTCAGCCTCCCACATAGCTGAGATTACAGGCATGCACCACCATGCCCAGCTCATTTTTGTATTTTTAGTAGAGACGGGGTTTCACCATGTTGGCCACTTTGGTTTCGAACTCCTGACCTCAAACGATCAGCCTACCTTGGCCTCCCAAAGTGCTGGGATTATAGGCATGAGTCACTGCACCCAGCCCTGTGTTGCTTTAATTTGGCATGTCTTTGAGCTCTACTTTAGTGTCTACTAATTTCATGTTATTTGAATATGTGTGTGTATATATGTAAAATATATTATTAAGTCTTATGTGTTTTAAAACAGTTTTCTGGTTATGATCATTAGTTTATGACTTGGTATATACTCTCTGATCTTTCATAGTTTATACGTCATTTTCATGGAATATAAAATAAACAGCATAGTTTGGGGCTAGGTTTACATACAATACTAATTTATTGTGGAAATTAACATCTACATTGTTACTATCTAATTACAGGATGTTGTGTCATTTAATTTTCTCTTTACCTTGCTATGTGGATGCCCTTTGAACTGTAAACATTTCGCCCTAATCTTTGTTCATGAACATGCTTTCCTGTGCCATGAGACAGGAAAAGTATTTTTATTCATAATACAATGGGATTGCCTTTGAAGTCTTTGAATATTTTGTGATTTGTTGAGTTCTTTGGTTTGGTGGTTTTGTTTTAAACTGCTATACATTTCATTCGCTAACTGAAGTTCACAACTGTTTTAGTCCAAGACAGGCCTTCCACTTAGCACCTACTTCAGTGCAGTGAAACTTCGCTGGCTCCTTGACAATGTGAGAAAAGTTCAAAAGGCTGTTGAAGAAAAACGAGCTCTTTTTGGGACCATTGATTCATGGCTTATTTGGGTATGTTTAAATGTAATGACTGTATGGAGAATTTTTTTCAGAAATTTTTCTAGACTGCCTTGCCTATTGTTTTCTACTAGCAGGTCAGGCTTTTTAATTAGTAGCATTTTGAAGAAAAGGCGCTCAAGAAGCAACAGAACATTTCAGCTGCCATTCAAGCAGCATTTTTGCCTACTTTCTCTTTATTTTTTTCTTGTCTTATTTCAGTAAAAATGAAGGATAATTACCAAAACGATATCTCATATCTATTATCTTTAGGATGAGTAATTCAGGTACCCTTTCTCTATTGTCTGTCATATACTCCTTTCCTACTAGCCATATCTTAGAAGAAATAACTATTTAACAGGATAAAATACATAGAGTACTTGTTTTTTTTTTTTTTTTTTTTGAAATGGAGTTTTGCTCTCATTGTCCAGGCTGGAATGCAGTGTGCGATCTCAGCTCAACGCAACCTCTGCCTCCCAGGTTCAAGCGATTCTCCTGCCTTAGCCTCCCAAGTAGCTGGGATTACAGGCATGCACCACCACACCGGGCTAATTTTTGTATTTTTAGTAGAGATGAGGTTTTTCCTTGTTGGTCAGGCTGGTCTCGAACTCCTGACCTTGTAATCCACCTGCTTCAATCCCCTAAAGTGCTAGGATTACAAGCGTGAGAGCCCCCGCACCTGGTCGAATACCTAGAGTACTTTTATCTTTTGCTTTCAACATTACACAACTGTCTCTTTTATAATCAAGCCATAATATGAAACTAAATCATACTGGAAATTTCTATTTAGAATCTTTTTGCCTACACTGAACATGCAGCAATTATCAACCTATGGCCAATCTTGTTTTTTCTATACTCACATATGCTTTCTCCCCACAGATAATTTTAAAACAAATGCCAGACATTTCATTTTATTTGTAAATATTTCAGTAAGTATGTGATGATCTTTTTTGACATTTGAGGGAACATCAAGGAAATATTGTCCCCACTCTCACTTGCCAGATCCACAGAGCAGGTCTTTCAGAACCAATATCAGCAAGAGGCACCTACTTCACCTCTCCATGTGCTTGGCCAGGGCAGAATATGCTTTGTGTTCATGACCAGCCATTTTCACATGGGTCAGTCACAGTCGAATGAGTATCTTTGACAATTGCATCGAACCAGAGTAAGGCAAGATGTAGGAACTGTTAGCTGCAGGAGACTCAAGGGAGCACGTTTTGGCTATATTCCCAGTGGATGTTGTTTATGAACCTTTGTTCCTTTCCTACCTCTTACTGCTTCCATGTAAAAGAAGGTAGTAGTGCCTCCAGTTCAGGCATGTGGGTATACCTGAGAAGAAAGTTTAAAACTTGTGAGTGGAGACAGCATAATGCAAATTGTTATTTAAACAACAATAGCAACAAAGAAAAAACCAGAGATGACAACAACACAGAATTATCTAATATCCTTATGAAGCAGGTGTTTCAACTTATTTCATGTTGTCAAATTTAATAAGACTCTGAGTTTTCTAAACATAATAGGATGAAAACAAAACTGATTTTTTGTTTATCCATCAAGTAACTGGAATTGTGCTGATAAGGTAGCCACTAGCCTCATTTGACTATTGAGCACTTGAAACGTGATCAAATTGAGGTTTGCTGTAAGCATGGAATATACACCAGATTTCAAATACTTAGTACAGAAAAAAGAAGGTAAAATGTCTCAATAATATTTACACTGATTATATGTTAAAATGATATTTTGGATATGTTGGGTTTAATAAAATATACAGTATTAAGATTAATTCTACCTGTTTCTTGGTATGCTTTTAATATAGCTACTAGAAAATTTAAAATTACATATGTGGCTCACATTTTATTTCTGTTGGACACTGCTGTAAACTAGAACACTAGATAAATGAAACGTTCCATTCTTTTGCTTTATGTGTTCTGCTGATTATAACCCTTAACAATATGTAAATTAAATTCCAAATAAGTACAAATTTAACCTGTCTTTTTTGTTCTGTTTAGAGTTTGACAGGAGGAGTCAATGGAGGTGTCCACTGTACAGATGTGACAAATGCAAGTAGAACTATGCTTTTCAACATTCATTCTTTGGAATGGGATAAACAGCTCTGCGAGTGAGTTCTGTTTTGCTCTAAATATAATTTCCCCAATATATTACCTATTTATAACAAAATCTTACTATTTTCAGATGTCAGTGGAACACCAAAATTTAACTGTTGCTATTTCAACTACAATATGCAAATCTATGTTGTGTGTTTTTTAAAGAGAGACTATTGCTTATATAATAAACAGGCCAAATTAATCATTCTTCATGGAAGATTAGGTTCCTTTGTAAAAGTACTTTGTTTTCTATGTGCTTTCTAATTTTTATTGATTGGCTTGCATAAAGTTAGAACGTTAAATATCTAAGAATACAACTATGTTCTGTTGGCTTATGTTATTTATTACTATCCAACTCCATGCTCAAAAACATCCATTTCTAATTGTTATTGATACTTTTTGCATTTAAATACATATAAATGTTTCTAGATGTCTATTCAAAACAGTGTTAAATACCCAATCTTATTGTTTTTTAGATTTTTTGGAATTCCAATGGAAATTCTTCCAAATGTCCGGAGTTCTTCTGAGATCTATGGCCTAATGGTAAAAAAAAAAAACAAAAACCTAAGAATTAAAGTTTTTTATTAGAAAAAAACTTGACTATTATTATTGAAAAGTCAACTGTTTTGTTTTGTAACTTAAAAACTTTAAAGTCCTTCTTACCAATGAATTTGCCGTTTATAAACTTATTTATAAACTTCAACTGGTTTTTCTTTGAGTATTATTATTTTTAAAGAATTAATGGGATACTCTAACTTGGCATGAGCCAATTTATTCTTTGAATCCAAATAACTGTTTAGTAGTTGTGGTGTCTGCTTTTAATTTAGAGGAAAGACTGTACATTTAGTAATGTTATTTTTCCTGTTGAATCTCTTTTATAGCCAAACTATTTATATATTAGATTCTTTGTTTGCATGAGCAAAATTTAGCAAAGAAACTGAAAGCAAAGAGTGTTTCTGGTTTGAGATTGCTAATTAAACTGGTTTCTGTAATGGACATTTTAACTTTTTATTTCATTGAAATCCAGTAAAAGCGTAGTTTCAGCAAAAAGTGTGCTTAGCATCACTAAGGGTCTGTGATTAAACATCAGGAATGAAAACTTCTAGGAGGAATTGCACTGGTGTTTGAGCACAAAAATCTGGAATTTATGATAAGACTCAGGAATAAGTCTGTGATAAATCACAAAAAGCATTACTTAGACATTTCATGAAAGATATGAGAAACTTCCCTTATAAAGTGAATAATAATACAGATGAACACTAAGTCCTCTGGATAAAGCTTGAGCAAGAATTTTTAACTGTTTCACTTATAATAAAGCTTTTTAAGGCAACATAGAGTTTCTTAAGGGAAGCATAGTCACTGCTTATCTTCAGCAAAAGTGCTTTGATCATTTCATAGCTGTCTGCAAACTGACTTGAATCAAGGAAAAAGAAACTGTGCTTGGGATGTAGTTTCAGAGGATGGTTAGAAAAAAAAAGTTGGACTGGCCTAGTTTTTCTTGCATTAAAAATATTATGCTTCTATCCTTCTTTTTCCCCTTTTCTGACTATAGAAAATCTCTCATAGCCTGGTGAGTAGGTTGCCTACCAATTATGTACCCATTCATTTGGAAAAGATACAGTGCACTTCCATTTATTTGTAGACACAAGCAGAAGTCCGTTTACTAAACATATATATCTGGAATGTCTGTGATCTCCCAAATTATTATAAGCTCTGGTCAGATTTTAATTAAAAAAATCAATCTTGTTTCTTTTTTAAGAGTAATGTTCTAAAATAAAAGACTAAGGTAGTTTCCTGTAATGAGAGATTCTGATATTCTCATAAAGTACAACTGTGATGTGCTTTGGGCCTTAGCATAGTAGGGCAATTAGATATAGTTTGAAATGTCTATTTTAAATGATATCTTGATTACCTTTCCAGACCAGTTAGGTGGAAATGCACTGTTACTTTTTCTGCATGCTTCCTCAAGGATGCTCCAGGAGGAGCATCAGAAGTCCCTCCCTTGAAAGAAAAAAGAGCACTTTATGTGCCTGAACACACATAGTAGATCCTGTTGATAGTTTGTTAATTTTGAAAGCATAAGCAAAAACTTCTTGTAATATTTAAATATATCAAGATATATAGCCTCTAGGTTTCCTATAGATGTACTTTAAGGCTTTTGAGAAATTTACCCTTTACTTAATATCCAGATCCAGATTTTCAAATAATATATACAGTAAAATAAAGATAACTGATTTTGAATTAACTGGAAAACATGAAAGAAATAAAATGATACCAGCTATCTAGAGGACATTTTCTATTTTGTAGAGGGTTTCTACATGAATGTTATTATTTCCTCATTATCATAGCCATGTAAGGTGGATTCTGTTCTTGCCCTCACTGTAACAGACAGGATATCTAAGCCTCCCAGAGCCTGGGAAACTTGCTCATACATTGCAGACCAACAAGTCATGTCCAAAGTTTTAGTTTGGTGCTCTTCCTAGTACATCACCCCTACTTCAGGAATCATATTTCTTAGTTCTCCTAATTCCTTAATATCATTAAATATTTTTTTTGAGTTAGTGTGCTTTTTTTAAAATTAAGTTTGTAAAGTCTACAATCAGCCACTTAAATCTCATTTTTCTTACTAGAATTCTGGCCATCATGATCAAAATAAAAACCAGTATTTGTGACATAAATTAACTGTTGCTTATCAAAATTTGAAGACAGATGTTTGCTATGAACAAATAATATCCAATACCTGAACACTCTTATGTTCAGAGCAGCTTGAGTAGAAAGAAAAGTTGCTAAAATATGGCCTTGCAAAATAAATGTTTCATACTGGTTTGATAGCGATTTCAAGAATATACTAGTCATTTCTTAATATTGGCAATAATAGCAAAGCACTAATGAACTTGGGCAATCATGTAGCCCAATCTCCATTTTGTAGAGAAATAAAGTGATGTATTGAGAGGTTTCAGCGGCCTGCTAGTGGATTAATACTAACTAACTAACCAAGAGTAGAGCCCACATCTACTGACTCCCAGTCTAACATTTTGTGTTCATTCTTCAGTGCCATATCTCTTCCTGTCATTCTAGGAATACTTGTAGTATCTGTCTCTGTATCATCTTTTAGTTGAAATACTTTGTCTTGTCTGCCCACATCCTCTGGCACATTGTTATTTGTGTTCACTCTTGTTGCAGAGTAGAGCCAAAATTTTGTGATTATTCATAATCTTTTTTTAAAAATTTTATTAGAAAGCTGGAGCCTTGGAAGGTGTGCCAATATCTGGGGTAAGTTTCATCACCAAGTATCTCCCCATCCCTACTCCATTCCATGTTATGGCTTTCATTCTCTTAGTTCATCAGTGTGTCCCTTTTAAACTAGGGAAAACAAGTAGAAGTAGCAAAATTGGCTAATTCTTGTTCTTATGTGACATACTATGGGCCATTGAGAATTTTTTGAATAAATTAATTTAACTCTCCCTTCCCATACTTATTCTCTTATATATTAACAAATGGGGAAAATGGTCAAATGGAGAAAATGCAAGAAATGTAGATAGTTCATTCCTTGATAAATAAAAAAGAAAAATAAGTCCCATGGCTCTTCTAAAGAGGAAATTAATCCTACTGTATTAGTCAGTGTTTTTTATTGTCATTTATACTTTCAGTGTTTAGGGGACCAGTCTGCTGCATTGGTGGGACAAATGTGCTTCCAGAATGGACAAGCTAAAAATACGTGAGTTTAAGAAACAGACTTAAAAACCAGTGCTGTTTTGTTTTTCCCACTTGGTGCTTTGAATGAGGAAAAGCTTTTGAAGTTCATCCAGGATGAAAATCAGTAGTTTAATAGCTCCAATATGTATATATACATTTATCATTTTTTAAATATCTTTAAATAAAATATATTATGCCATGTATATGCATACTGATGAAGCTTATAAAGACCTTAATTTGTAAAATTAAGTTTTTTAATCCCAAAAACTAAATTTTGATTCAAAGTATTCTTGCCTTTTTCGGGAGATTGGTAGGCTGGTGAGAGGGATGGGAAGAAGTGAGGAAGAGCCATAATGTAAACTATAATTTTCAGCATATTAAGTCTTTCTCATTAACTGTAAAGTTATATTTTTGTGGAATTTTCAATGTTATTTTCCTAGCACTGTTCTTTCTCTCCATTATCTGAAGTTTCTCCTTCGACAAGAAGCAGAAAGAATGATAGAAGTAGATATTTGGAATATTTTTCTCTCAATCTCATCTTCTTACTACTCACACATGCAGAGTCTGGGACAAGCATCATATCTAAGAGTAATAAGAAGACGACTCTCACTTTACGATGAGAAAATGGATGTTGGAAGAGGTTATATGCTTGCTAAGGTCATAGCCTTGACACAAAAGCAGAACCAGATCTCAAGCCCACACCTTCTGAGTCTGAATCTGGCACTCTTTCTTTCTGTTCCACCAATCACTATACTTATTTAAATGTAAACTTTTAAATATTAAAAAAGCTACCTGCCAATTATATGTGTTCATGAACAAAAATGAATATGCCTCAAAAGCTGAAATAATACTGATAATTATAACACAAGCTCAGCCAGTGGCTATTGTGTTACATATAATGCTCCATGTGCTTGAAACACAGTATATAATTTAACCCACATACAGATCCTGTCATTCCCATTTTATAGATCAGGAAACTGAGAATTAAAGAAAATAATTTATGCAACAGCACAGAACTAGTAAGTGGGAGATGCAATATTTGTACCTAGATCCATTTCATTCCTTAGCCAGGGTTCTTAACCTGTGTGGTATACTGCCTCCTGTGTGGAAAAAATTTCCATACAACTGGCAAGAGACTACATTTAATTGTTCTTTTCTTGAGAATTTCCTAAATGTCTCATCAATTTTAACTTCAGTGGTTAAGTTCTTCCTTTGTGAATAATGGAATGTGTAACATTTCTAGATGAAACATTTTCGTAGTCCAGCAGGGTCAGGGGCTCTCATGCGAAAGTGTGACATTATTTGTGTGAATTTTTTGAGGAATAGGAATGTGGACATTCTTTGCAGGTCATGATAATCTAAGGTTACATGAACAAGAGCATTTGAGTCAGCACAAGTCTGGAAACATTCTTGGAATCTGGGTTCCAGGCAGCTGAATCAAGAGTCAAGAGAAATGAGATAGAAAACTAGGTTATTTTTCTCTTTCTTTCCTCCTCTGCCAGGAACACTATTGTTAGTAAACCAAATGTTATTTATATTTTAGGTGCCTAGCACAGTACAATCAATCCTCTGTGTCTACAGGTTCCACATTTGTGGATTAAAAATATTCAGGGAAAAAAACCCATAAAAATATCAATACAACAGAAAAATACAAATTTTAAAATACAGCATAACAACTATTTACATAGCATTCATATTGTATTAGGTATTATAAGTAATCTAGAAATGATTTAAAATATACAGAAGGATATATGTAGGTTACATGTAAATATGAAATATGACACCATTTTATACAAGGGACTTAAGGATCCTTAGATTTTGGTATCTGTTGGGGCAGTAGGTGACCTTGGAACCAATGCCCAACCCCCCCGCCAGATACCAAGGGACGACTGTATGTGTAGCACATGGTAGGTACCCAATACAATAGCCTGCTTTTCCTCTTCTCTACTCCCCTCCCCTCTAACGTTATCAGCCAAGTCCTTAAGTGATGAATTTAAGTTAGGAAGGACTTGTTTGAGTACCTCTGCAGCTACTGCATATTGGAAGAGGGAAATAGCAAATTGTAAGATCTTTGATCTCATATTTATCTTCCTGAGGGAAAAGAACATGAGTATACATTTAATCATATATAAATCAGAAGTTATGTGCCATGAGAAACTTTAAAGTAAAGCTGTTGGGTTTCAATGGGAGGAAAGAAAAATCATGAAAGATTATCTTAGTAATGAGATGCTTTGAAAAATGAGCATTATTGGAGGATACAGAGAACATTCAACAAGATACGTATGGGGAAATAGAAGACTTTGTTTAGAGCATGTAGAGAACATTAAAGTAGAGAAGTGATAAAAACACAAGAGTAGGATCATGTTGTGAAGCCCTATATTTCAGGCTAAGGAGCTTTTCTTGATAGGCAGTAGGAAACTTCTGATGGTTTATGAGCTGGTGTTCAGAGATGACTGGAGTTGTCAGTTTATAATACAGCAGTCTTGGGTGAAAGTGAGGAAAGACTAGAGGTCAACATGCCATGGAGGAAGCCACTATAGTATCCTGGTAATGAGCACATGGTCTCAGAAGGCTGGGGACAGAGAGGGAGACCGTGAGTGGATGTGCATGACATTGCAGAGGAGAAAGGGAAGGGAGGTAGGTATGTAACCTAGGGACCTGGACCCAATGGTTAGGCTTAGCCAATATAAGGAAAGGATCTGTTTAGAATTTTTGTTCAGAGCATGTTTGTGGTACTGGCAGACCATATGTTGCACACATGTGGAAATGTGGAATAAGTTCAGTATAACAGTGGAAATTTTTGAGCCAGGTGCAATGGCTCATGACTGTAATCCCAACACTTTGGGAGGCCGAGGCAGGTGGATCACTTGAAGTCAGGAGTTCGAGACCAGTCTGGCCAACATGGCAAAACCCTGTCTCTACTAAAAATACAAAAATTAGCTGGGTGTGGTGGCAAGTGCCTGTAATCCCAGCTACTCAGGAGGCTGAGGCACGAGAATTGCTTGAACTTGGGAGGTGGAGACTGCAGTAAGACAAGATTGTATCACTGCACTCCAACCTGGGCGAGAGAGTAAGACTGCCTCAAAAAAAAAAAAAATGGAAATTTTGAATTTCCCCTAGATAGAGGGGGTTTTGAAGCAACAGAAGTAGATGAAATTACCAGGAAAAAATATACTAGTAAAGGAGATATTTAGAAGTAGCAGGCACTGGGATGGGGAAGTCAGAAAAATAATGCAGTTATTCATTTTTTGTTATATATATGTGTGTGTATATATATGAGATAGGGTCTTGCTCTGTCCCCCAGGCTGGAGTGCAGTGATGAGATATCAGTATACTACAGCCTTGACCTCCTGGGCTCAAGTGATCCTCCCACCTCAGCCTCCTGAGTAGTTGGTACTACCGATGCATGCCACTACACTCAGCTAATTTAAATTTTTTTTTTAGAGATGAGGTCTTACTATATTGCCCAGGCTGTCTCAAACTCCTGGGCTCAAGCAATCCTACTGCCTCAGCCTCCCACACTACTGGGATTATCGGGATGAGCCACTGCACCTAGCCTGAAGTTATTCATTAGTGTGGAAATCCTGGGTAGAGATATTTATGAGAGAGGCATGGTCAGTAATACAAAACACTACTAAGAGGTCATGGAGGCTGAGAACCAAGAATGGACCATTATACATTGAAATTAGGTCTTCATTTGGTGACTTTCATGAACGCTCAAGATGGAAGCTTGGTTGCAAATGGCAAAAAGAGATGTAAGCAGGTAGAAAATCGAAGATAGGTGCTTTGCAAAAATACAGCCATACAAGAATGGTAAGAGAAGGACATAGTTTGTGAGGTTAACAGGATTATGAAACATATTGGGAATTTTGTTTGATTTTGTTTGTAAGTTATGGTAAGAGAATATTTCTTTGGAATCTGAGGAGAGAACAGATGAAAGTTGTAAAACAAATGGGGGATAAACAAATAGGCAAGACCAAGTCCTAAGAGGTTAGAGAGATTGGGATTGAAAATGTAATTAATTTCTCCCAACATCAGCAGGGAGAAAATGACAGTCAGCTCAGAATTCAATGAAAAGCCCATCTCTGGTTCAGGGTGGGGGAGAAATTATGGATGATTCTGATTTTTCTTTTAGCTTAGTTGTATTTTCTAATTTTTCTAGAACCTCAAAAAATTGATTATTTGAGCATTAAATTTTATTTTTCTGAAAGAACACCTAAGATAGCTGTCTCATCTGTCCTGGGGTGCTAACTGAGTGTGATAACGTTTTTGACTTCCTTCACAGCTTTATCGGGGCAAAAACCCCTGCCCCTGTGTGCCATCTTTGCCACGCCTCTCTGGGCTGCTCAGTCCTGATCTGATAGTCATGAAGGAGAGCAAGCAACCTTTACCTTTGCAGAAGTTAGAAAAGTAAAACATCTTTCTGGGATATTTGAACACAGTACAGTGTTCTGTGAGTACAGTATATAGTGAGGAAGGCAAGGTAGATCACATAAATGCTGCAAGCTCCATATATGCTTGATGACTGGGAAGAAAGAACAATAACATTTAAGAGGAAAATACTTTCCTATGTACTGCTTTAAAAGCTGTGGCCTAAATATAGCAAAGAATTGTCTTCATATTTGCTATATTCATTAATTGCTTATTAAGTATACATACTTAATAATTCACTTTTATTAAGTGCCTTGAGCTTTCTCATCAATTTTGCACTTTAAGACTCATATGCAACTGTTCAGTACAGTGTTTATATGGATGCTAAACTGGTACAGATTTCTCCCTTAAAAAGCACACAATAGATAATTATCTTCCATTTTTATGTGTATTTATCATAGTAGATTAACTCGAAATATATAGCTTTTTCAGTGTGTGGCAATAAAAAGGTATAGTGATTTTGTGTTTTAATTTGTAAATGTATTACCTGTACCTAGTGTTATTTGACAAGTTTCTTTACAAAATAAGATATTTATTAGTCCTATGCTCCTTGAATTTGTCACCTGCTCATCAAGCAGGCCAAGAATATATTTGAGTGAGAAGAGATAGACTATCCTAGGCTAATCCTTATTCAGAACAATGGTACCTGGAAAAATGTCAGAAACCAATTTCCCTTGGTTTTGTGTTTGTTGCACAATCAAAATGCAACTGATGGGATCTGTTCAGTTAGTGCTCACCGGTAGTACATTCTTCTGGGATCCTTCTGCCAACCCCTGGACTGAGCACTGTCGTATTTCTCAATTGCTAGAATGTCACCTTGTTACCCCAACTCAGCCTAACTGTTCCTCTGTGACCTTAATGGGTATCAGTTTGAGCCACTTACCTGCCTGGCACAAGTCAAAACTACCTATTGATGTCCAAGGGCCAGACTTGCTGCAGAGTCCAAAGTTTATACTGATAAGGCTGCCACAATATAAATTCAGTTCTTCTGTAACAGCCATGTTACATTCGGGCTCTGATTATCAAAGATAGGCCTTAAATTGCCTTCTCTTCCATGCTTTGGAAGCTACACCCAGCTTGTCCAGCTATACCCTTTCACACTCTGCATCCAGCCTCCCAACCCTGCCAAAAGATAGTGGTGTTTCTCAGCTAAGCTGGCTGTCAGTCATGATGCTTCACTATGACATAACTTAGAATTTTTGTAATTCAGTGGTATTTTTTAAATACAGCCCGGGTCTATGACTGACTAAACACAAAATACTATACCTGCATTTTTCCATTAAGATTGCAAGTGCATTTCCTTCTATGCTGATTTCTAAAGCACTATTCCGTGAAGATATATGATTTTTGTTAACTTTAGGAACTTTTCTAAAACTATAATATAATGACTTTTTTGTACTAAATTATATGTCAGTTTTGATCATTTGTATTATTAATGTTTCATTATTTGCTTTCAATACAATTGTCTTACTATTCATTGTCCCTTCAACTATAGGTATGGAACAGGATGTTTCTTACTATGTAATACAGGCCATAAGGTTGGTTTTTTAAATTTAAAAATTGATAAAAGTCTTTAAGTTCATATAAATAATGCTTAGACATAATTTGCTATTAAATTACTTTTGGTCATTAGTTTTTACTTAATCTTTATCAGGGTTTAATTTAGAGCATAATACAAAATTTAAATGGTTCTAATAAGAACCATTTTAGGTTCTTTGAATCTTATATGTGTGTTTTTAATTGTGTTGGCGGGAAATCTAGACTGAGACCTTGTCAAATTCTTAATGCAACTCTAATTTGAAACAAGGAATAATTTTCTTTTTTTTTTGAGACAAAGTCTCACTTTGTCACTGAGACTGAGTGCAGTGGCACAATCTAAGCTCACTGCAATGTCTGCTGCCCAGGTTCAAGCAATTCTCCTGCCTCAGCCTCTTGAGTAGCTGGGATTACAAGTGCCTGCCACCGTGCCTGGCTAATTTTTGTAGTTTTAGTAGCGATGGGATTTCACTGTGCTGGCCAGGCTGGTCTTGAACTCCTGACCTCCTGATCCACCTGCCTCAGCCTCCCAAAGTGCTGGTATTACAGGTGTGAGCCACCATACCCAGCCAGGAATAAACTTTTTATACAGCTTAAAAAAAATTTTTAAGCTCTGTTGCCCAAGCTAGAGTAGAGTGATCTCAGCTCACTGCAACCTCCGCCTCCTGAGTTCAAGTGATTCTCCTGCCTCAGCCTCCAGAGTAGCTGGGATTACAGGCGTCCATCACTGCACTCAGCTAATTTTCATATTTTTAGTAAAGACGGGGTTTCATCATCTTGGTCAGGCTAGTCTTGAACTCCTGACCTCGTGATCCACCTGCCTCAACCTCCCAAAGTGCTGGGATTACAGACATGAGCCACTGTGCCTGGCCATGTGTTTTTAATTCTGATCATTTTGACTATAAAGATTTATTTTTAAAAAATGGTTTATTGATCGCATTATTTTTTACCTATGTCATTTTAACCATTTTAACTTTAAAAAAATGTTCTTATGTTATCTTTTCATTTTCTACTGCTGAAAACTTTTTTTTCCCTCTCCCTTTCCTACAGTGTGTATTTTCTGATCATGGCCTTCTCACCACAGTGGCTTACAAACTTGGAAGAGACAAACCGGTATATTATGCATTGGAAGTAAGTTCTTTTTAATCAATATGGATAATATGACAAAAATTCAAAGCTAATGCAAATTTCAGTGTTTTCTAACACTTTTCTAGTAACTCTTAATACAGAGGACTCAAAAAATTCTGCTTTCTTGGCATTGGATTGAGTGGAAGGAACCTGAGACTGATCTGGGTGTCAGGACTCACAGGAGACCTTGATTATATTGGTTCCTCAGTTCTTATGCCAATTAATTGTGTCACCTTAGGCATATTACTTGACAGCTCTACAATATAAGGGTTTTTTTTTTTATCTTTAAAGTTTAATCAGATTAAGGGTCTCTTTTACATTTCTTTCATCTTGAAAATCCTTTGTTTTTATAAATAAATGCCTCAGTGTTCCAAAGAGAACCCCTGGACACAAGAAGGCAGAACAACCCTTTTTACTTGTCTCCTCATAAAAATAAATTTTGTGTAACTTTTTTTTTTTTTTTGAGACAGAGTCTTGCTCTGTCTACCAGGCTGGAGTGCAGTGGCATGATCTTGGCTCACTGCAATCTCCACCTCCTGGGTTCAAACAATTCTGCCTCAGCCTCCTGAGTAGCTGGGATTACAGGTGTGTACCACCACACCCAGCTAATTTTTGTATTTTTAGTAGAGACAGGGTTTCACCATGTTGGCCAGGCTGGTCTCAACCTCCTGACCTCGTGATCCGCCCACCTCAGCCTCCCAAAGTGCTGGAATTACAGGCATGAGCCCAGCCTAACATTTTGATATAGAAAAGAAAGTGAGGAGATTTATGCTACTTATCACTCGAAACATTTGTTTCCAATGTGTTTGTATGTTATAGTAGGAATATGCCAGCCTAAGCCCATAGGATACAGTAAGTTTGTATTAGAAATATGTATTTATAAAGTCAAAGAAATAGTATTCTTTTTATAAAATTAGATACATTTCTAATAAGCATTTCTATATAATTAATTTTGAGTTGGCTACCTTATAATGCACAAGTATACAGTTGATCTGCAAACTTACTGAGGCTCATGTTTTAGAGTGCCTGATGATAATTTGGTGACAAGCTCAAGACTTCTAGTTAGAGTTAAAACATTTTATTAGTCATTATGCCTAGCACATGAAGAATATTAGTTTATTTTTTTCCCTTTTCCAACCCATAAGCATCATAATATCGACCCCAGCCCCTTTTCTATGGATGGAAGCATTGTGAAAACTTAGTCTGTATATTAAAGGTATCTTAACACTTCTCAGAACTTAAAATCCTACAACCCTTCTCCCTCTCTACTTTCCCTCTGTGGAAAGTGCATAGTAAAACACTATGCACATAGAATATACACTTGGTAAGTGTTACCTATAATATAATAATATGATTCTGCTTTCTTTTTCTTCTTGCACAGGAAACAATTAATGCTTTTTTTTTTTTTTTTTTTTGAGACAGAGTCTCACTCTGTCACCCAGGCTGGAGTGCAGTGGCGCGATCTCAACTCACTGTAACATCCGCCTCCTGGGTTCAAGTGATTCTCCTGCCTCAGCCTCCTGAGTAGCTGGGATTACAGGCATGTGCCACCATGCCCAGCTAATTTTCGTATTTTTAGTAGAGACGGGGTTTCACCATGTTGGTCACCTTGGTCTTGATCTCCTGACCTCGTGATCTGCCCGCCTCAGCCTCCCAAAGTGCTGGGATTACGGGCGTGAGCCACTGCGCCCGGCTAATTAGTGCTTTAGAATTACAGATGCCTTGGACCTGGGACAGGCTTCAGGGACAGTGGTCACCCAGTCTTAACTCCCCACCCAATATGAAAAGCCTTCTCCTGTCTCCTTGCCAGTAGCCATCCAACTTCTGTCTGAAGACAGCACCTAAAATTGCTTCTTAACAACATCTCTGGCTTTGGACCTACATTGGTTGTCAAAAGTGTTCCAACATTAGGAGGCTGCGGTCAGTTTCTCTGGGTCTTCCTCCTCCAGGGGTAAACTGACCCATTACCTTGATCTCACGTGGTTTCTGGATGCTTTATAGTTTTGAGCTCTTTTCATTGGGTGCATTGCAATTCATGTCATCCAGAATGGAGTATAATATTCTACATCTAATCTGACCTGCACTCAATCAATAGGGTGATTTGTGTCTTTCCTACCATAAGCACTGCTTAGCTCCTCTAGCCTAAGAGTTCATTAATTTAGACGAATAACCCCTTCATATTATTGGCCCCGGGAGCATATGCTAAAAAACCTAGCTCATATTCAAATGAGTCATTGTCAAACCAAGTCTGCTCTGTTTTGTATTTGTGTAGTTTTTTTGTTAAATCTAAATTAGGGTCTTTGTTTCTTCCTGTTTAATTTCATAATAGTGATTTTAGCCTATTCCTATATAGTCTGAATTCATTTTCACTCTTTACTGTTACTCTCTCAGTTTTGTCTCATCTAGAGATTTAACAAGCATATGCTTTATTATTTTGTTTCAATTTATGTAATGCTTTTAGATGCTTAGAATTGTAAAAGCTGAGAGGGACACTAGATCATATGACAACATACTTAGTTACACCTTCCTATCGCCTTGTTTTACACATGAGGAAACTGAGATTAGAAAAGTGAAATTGGAGTCCCTTGACCAAGTAACTTTTGACAGCATTAAGTAGCAGATCCAGATGCTTGGACATGAAAGCTTTGATGCCTAGGTCACCCTGCTGTACCATTTCCCTTCTTGTAAGTCTGGAAGTTCTGGGCTCCAGCTTCCCAAGTCCAGTGTTGTTGTCACTGCATCTAGCTTATGCCCCTTCCTTCATCTGCTAATCTAGCAGTCTCAGCACAACAACACACATACATATACTAATATGTTAACGGTGTAGTTAGAATTTTTATTCTTTATGTTTTCTTAATTGTTTTTACAATTAACAAACATTAAAAAATTTAAATTAAACCAAACCAAAAAACAAGGGTAGGGAATAATGCTAGACTGGTAAAACTTTTTATCAGTTAACTCATGCTAATTTCACTTGGTCATACTAATTCTTTTTTTTTTTGTAAATGTTTACATAGTATATATTTAATAATATTGTCTTTCATCTGATGGATTGTTGTTAGGCTTAGAAGTTGGAGATATGAAAATTTTAGTCTTTATGCTCTTTAAAACCTAAAACTATAGCTACCCATCTTCAGTCTTTCTTTTTTCATTCTTCCTCTGCTGATTTGGGAGCAATAAGATGTATTTCTGTGTTTTTATTTTGGTAATTTTTTTTTCTTTTGTGTGTAGCCTTAGGTTGTTTGTTTGTTTATCTGTTTGTTTATTTGAGACAGAGCTTTGCTCTTGTTGCCTAGGTTGGAGTAGTGCAATGGTACAATCTCAGCTCACCACAACCTCCGCCTCCCAGGTTCAAGTGATTCTCTAGCCTCCACCTCCTGAGTAGCTGGGATCACAGGTGTGCACCACCACGCCCATTTGATTTTGTATTTTTAGTAGAGATGGGGTTTCTCCATGTTGCTCGGGCTAGTCTCAAAATCCTGACCTCAGGTGATCCGCCGTCCTCGGCCTCCCAAAGTGCTGGGATTACAGGCATCAGCCACCATACCTGGCATGATTTTTAAGGTATTGTTTAACTGTATATTTTTCCAAGAGTATATGTCATTGTTTGGTATTTTTAGTCTCCCAACCATGATGAGGACCTCTAATATTTTACCCTACCACCTCTATCACCAATTGTGTTATTTTACTAAAGCTTTCATTTCCCCCATTTTCTTTTCTTTCTTTCTTTCTTTTTTTTTTTCTTTTTTTTTTTTGAGACGGAGTTTTGCTCTTGTTACCCAGGCTGGAGTGCAATGGCGCGATCTTGGCTCACCGCAACCTCCACCTCCTGGGTTCAGGCAATTCTCCTGCCTTAGCCTCCCGAATAGCTGGGATTACAGGCATGCGCCACCATGCCCAGCTAATTTTTTGTATTTTTAGTAGAGACGGGGTTTCACCACGTTGACCAGGATGGTCTCAATCTTTTGACCTCATGATCCACCCGCCTTGGCCTCCCAAAGTGCTGGGATTACAGGCGTGAGCCACTGCGCCTGGCCCATTTCCCCCATTTTCTTAAACATAACGATAGTTACTACCGTTTTCTTTGCAGTCCACAGTAAATCGTATTTGTTGACTTATTTTATCTATTTCTGTGTCCAGTATTATTTCTTTGGTCTCACATCTATTTTATTCCCACCTACTTTTTTTCTTTTTTTCTTTTTTTTTTTTTTTTTTTTGGCTGAGGGGCATCCTTCTTCTATAGTTCTTTTACTGACAGTGTAGGATAGTAAGCCTATTCTTTTTAGGTTTGTCTTTATTTTGCCCTCACTCTGAGGATGAGTATAAAAGTCTGCATTAACAATTATTTTTCCCACATCCCTTTTGGCAATTTTTGATGCTGATGAGACCTCTGCTGTCAATGTGTGGTTCATTTGTAGATAATCTAGTTTATTGTCTGGGAGTTTCTAACATTATCTCTTTATCATTGATGTTCTGTAGTTTTACTGTGATATGCCTGGGTTTGGATTTATTTTTATTTATCCTGTTAGGTACTTGGATCCAAGTCTGTCTTCAGATCTGGAAAATTCTCAGCAATTACCTCTTCAAATATTGCTCCTCTACCATTACCTCCATCCTCTTCTGGAATTGATATTGGATGAATATTGGAACCTTTCAACCCATCATCCATGTCTCTTAACTGCCCTTTTATATTTTTTAATCTCTTTGTTTCTCTGTGCTGCGTCCCTGGTGAGTTTCTCAGTATCTACCTTCCATTTCCAAATTATCTCTTCAAAACAAACAAGATAAAACATAAAAGCCTTTTTTGTATTGTGAAATAGAAGACACATACAGACAAATGCATTAAATATCATTTAATGTACAACTCGAAAAAATATTATGAAGACTCATATAACTTGTTCCTAGAATGCTACCAATCCCAAGAACCTCTATTTGTCGCGAGATCACAACCTCCTCCCTCTCCGAGATAAACATAAACTGACTTTTATCATAATCACTTCTTT